CATGAGCCAGCCATGTGCCCTTGTGGCCAAGGCCAATGGCGTCCTGGGGTGTATGAGAAGGGGTGTGGTTGGCAGGTCGAGAGAGGTTCTCCTCCCCCTCTACTCTGCCCTGGTGAGGCCGCATCTGGAATATTGTGTCCAGTTCTGGGCCCAACAGTTCAAGAAGGACAAGGAACTGCTGGAGAGAGTCCAGTGCAGGGCCATAACGATGATGGAGTGGAGCATCTCCCTGATGAGGAAAGGCTGAGGGAGCTGGGTCTCTTTAGCTTGGAGAAAAGGAGACTGAGGGGGGACCTCATTAATGTTTATAAATATGGAAAGGGTGACTGTCATGAGGATGGAGCCAGGCTCTTCTCAGTGGCGTCCAATGATAGGACAAGGGGAAATGGATATAAGCTGGAACATACGAGGTTCCACTTAAAGATAAGAAAGAACTTCTTCCCAGTAAGGGTAGCAGAACACTGGAACAGGCTGCCCAGAGAGGTTGTGGAGTCTCCTTCTCTGGAGATGTTCAAAACCCGCCTGGACGCGTTCTTGTGTGATCTGATCTAGGTGGTCCTGCTCTGGCAGGGGGATTGGAGTAGATGATCCTTTGAGGTTCCTTCTAATCCCTAACATTCTGTGATTCTGTGATATTCCAGGCTGCCTCCAAAGCAGCATGGGCAGCAAGTCAAGGGAAGCAATTCTGCCCCCCTACTCTGCTCTCGTGAGACCCAGTATGAAATAACATGTCCAGCTCTGGAGTCCTAGGTGCAAGACAGACATGGACCTGTTGGAGCAGGTCCAGAGGAGGGCCACACAAAGGTCAGAGAGATAGAATACCTCTCCTGTGAGGAACAGCTGAGAGAGTTGGGGTTGTTTAGTCTGGAGAAGAGAAGGTTTTGGAGAGACTTTATTGTGGCCTTTCAGTACTTAAAAGGGGGCTTATAAGAAGGATGAGGACAGACTTTTTAATAGAGTCTGTAGTGACAGGAGAAGGGGTAATGGTTTTAAATTAAAAGAGTGTAGATTCAGACTAGATATAAGGAAGACATTTTTTACAATGAGAGCAGTGAAACACTGGCACAGGTTGCCCAGAGAGGTGGTAGATGCCTCATCCCCAGAATCATTCAAGGTCGGGTTGGACAGGGCTCTGAGCAACCTGATCTAGTTGAAGATGTCCCTGCTCAGTGCAGGGGTGAGGCTGGACCGGATGACCTTTAAAGGTCCCTTCCAACCAAACCATTCCATGATTCTATACGCTACCACTATTATTCTGGCCACCGTGTACTTATACATATATTTGAGGAAGTACTTTACAACTTAAACTTTACTCTGAAAGTTCTGAATTGCTTTACAATTCTCCTGAGGTATTCTCCAAAATACCTTTGCAGAGATACTGATATTCAGGTACTGGACTGAACACCTTACTTGAGGTTGTTGAACAGCAGAGCAGCAAAGTTTCATGGAACAAGTGAGACTGAGAGACTATCCAGAAACATTCTCCTCCAAGTTCTTCCACATCCATGTGGCAGCACCTCCAGAAAACACTCTTCTATCTATTCTTGATGGTTCTAAACCTCTATAACAAAACTTTAACAACATCCTTCCCACTGAAGCAGTGCTCTTGTTATGGATAGCAATGTGAAGATATTCAAAGAAAATGGTCAGATACAATTGGAAGCTAAAGACCACAATAAACAGGAGAAAACACTTTACCATGTACATGAGACTGTTGGAAACTTTTTCCTGGTGCAAAGTGGAAATTTCCAGCTACCTGCAGGAGACAGTAATCTTTCATTAAAAGGTCTGAATCTATATAAATAAAGCAGTCATACTGGTGCTTGGATTTTTAAAATTTTGTTTAAACAAGACAGACACCAAGCAACTCATTTTCGTAGGTGATAACATAGTATTTATTGTCCTAAAAGAGAGATTAATTTCCCCCTTACTCACAGGCAGTCATGTGGAAAGCCATAATTACATACTGATGTTGATAATAACTGTTCTATGAAGATTATTTTAGTGGACATAAAATGAGAAGAAGGAATTAAGCCTATTGTGAGGGAACTGATCACTGCTGCAGGAAATATAAAAAGGTATCACAGAACAGAAAAGGAGTGGAGAAAGTAACTGAGAGGGAGAGAGAGCAGGGTAAAGAAAATCTTAATACAATGAACAACAGTGATCCTATGTATGTATCCATGAAAATAAGCTGCATGCAAAAATAAAGCACTAAAGCTATGAAAAAAAGAGAAAAAACAACCCAAACACACACAAAAAATGAACAAAAGACAAAAGTTGTTAACATTTCATCCTGGGATCTGAAAGGCATACGGAAATTAGGTGCGAATCCTCCCTGACACTCACTAACTAGCAATCATACACACTCTCCCTGGAAGGTCTGAACATCCCAAGCTCACGTGCTACATTACACCTTCGATGTCTGTGCAATCCTATTGCTGATGTTAACTGCAGACCTGACGAGAACGGAGATGTGCAAAATTCCAAGTGCACAACAATGGCCTCAGAAATTTCCCCGGTGACATCCACCCTTGGACCCTTGCCACCTCCCGCTTTCCCCTTTGGACCCCTCCTCTCATCACACTTTGTGATAGAGGGTCCTGTAACGGTTCGGTACCCATGATGATGCTCAAATCGTAATGTCTGGCTTTGTGAGTAAAAAGTTTACTTTCCAGAAATAAAGAATATGGTCTCCAGGAAGAGAACATAAAGATGTAAAAAATTCAGAGTTTGAATTAAAAAAAAAAAAAAGAGCCTGGACCTGACTTCTACAGTGTACTTGGGTACATAACCTGCATGTCCAACTGTTCTGGGTTTGGTAACCCTCCAAATGACAGGGTAGTCACACAGTTATATGGTAAATCTCAGAGTACGTTTTCATACACCAATTGCAAAACCCACCTCTCTGAGCATTTTCAGCTTTGACGACCACCCCCAATAGTCTTGCTTCCACCATTTTTCTAAAGATGATAACATTTCACTCTCTCCAGCATCTCTGCTGGCAAGCTGTTGGTTACTGTCATCTCCAGCATCCACCGGTGGCCTCTGTTTTACGATTAGAAGGGCAGGCGGAACAATCTAACCTCAAAGAAGTTGCTTCTCCTCCTCCAGAAACCTCGGCCAAAAGACCCACTAGTTAGACGGTAGGAAAAGCAAAGCTTCCCCAGCTGGCACGCTTCCTACCAGCCCACACAACACAGAGGACGAGCCCCTTCCTACTGCTTTTCCTGACTCTCCTACTAACTCTTACAGGCACAAGTATCTTGCTGCGCCAACGGGTTATGGCATTACAGTCCTGTGAACACCTAAAGCTGGAAAAGGAGAGGAACATCCCAACTCTGCCTTCTCACAGTCATCACCATCATGCAGCAGGTTCACAGCAAACCCATCTCTCACCTTGTTGACTTCTAGGAAACCATACACTTGGCAGCCCTCGTTCTTCTGCTCTTGCATTTTCTGGCTAAACCCTTCCCTCTTGCACTGCTCTATGCTATCCGGGTTCTTGAAGGCCCAGCCTCGCCGCCTGTATGCTTCTCTGACATCGTCACAAGTATTACAACACCTGCAAAAGCACAAGTACCATCTTACCATCTTTATCGCTAGAAAGAGATGCTCCAGCTCAGGACCTGAATCCTTGGTGGATTTTTTCTTCAACAAAGCAATAAAGCAAACATCAGGGACAGGACCCTGAAAGGTGGCCTAATGCTCCTGAAGGAGCTCGAGCTTCTTGATGTACTTTTTGAGATTTTGGCATGAAGATGCAAGCTGTTTTAATGCAGTGCTTGAGTCTGAAGAGGGCTTTGCCTGTCCACTTAAACAGTCAAGTCACTCCTTAGCAAATAAGTTTGCTACAAAAACAACATCAGTGTCCCACAGCTCTGAGCAGATTGGAACTTCCCCGTTTGAACAAAGCATCTGCCTGTTTCTATTCCTCCTTTCCTCTGATTTTAGGGCAAGACTGCCAACATCGGAGGGACAGTTAATGGTAAACTTTCTTCATTACTTTTCTACCTCTGGATAACATCTTGGTCACTGGAAAAAAACAGTTTTCTTTCTTGGTTCCATGTTTTGCTAGACCAAAGAAAAAATTGAAGGTGGGAATCATGAATCCCTCAAAATGGAAACATCTCTGGGGAAGGACACAACTTGACAGATGGGACAAGCCAAGTTACTGCAGAGACAATAATAGCAAAGGATAGTCCAGAACCCATGGACTAGCACGGATTTATTCTCACAAGAATTTGAAGGTAGGAGGAATGAGAAACACCAAATGACACCTGTTGTCTGTGGGAGCGATAAACGTCTGGTCTTTGCTCCTGTAAGGAGGCAAAGCCTGCAGCAGGAGTGAGAAGGCAAAGCCATAACCAGGTTTTATTGCAAGACAGTTCACGTAACAGTGAAATAATTTACACAGCTCCCCTCTGGACACCAAATAATCTCAGAAAAGATTCTGTTTGTTGAGATACAATCTTTGAGCTACTGCAGAAGTAGTGCAATTTGCATTGCCCTTAAACAGGCATGTACACACACTAGACATGCTAACTCTGCATGTTCTTAACAATCACGAGTGCAGCATACCAAAACCACAACAGTTCTCATTGTTCTCTGAACACGTGCCCAGGAAGATTGCATTGCACAGACCTTCACAGACATTTTGGAAAAAAAGTACATGCTACAGAATTGTACTAATTCAAGTGCTAAAAAGATACGAAAAGGTGTAAAGGTTACCGAATGTCCTCTGACTCTGCCCCGTAACAGCTCTCGCAGCGATCAGCAGCCAAAGAATTTGGATCAAACACCTTTTCTTCTTCTTTCCCCAGCTCTAAGACAAAACAGGATTCAAAGTGATAAGGCATGTCTAGAAATGCTCTCTTGTACTCTTGTTCTATGCACAGTAACTGTTCTGAAAATAAAAGCAACTATTTTGTATCAGAAGCTGCATGTCCTGCACCCACAGCCCACCTGAAATGGCACACACAGAGCCCGTTGAGGTGTGAAGGAACATCAAGAAGCAGTAGCACTTGTCATCTCAAAAACACCCTCCAGAGAAAGAACTGGCTATCAGTAAGCCTTGTTGGAGCACTGATGAGATGTAACTCGTACAAAGCCTTTGTTAAAACATCGTCTAAACTAGACCGAATCAGGAAATTTTGCCTGGTACTGGACCTGTCACACAACCACAATTTTAAGTAGAAGGCAATTGCAGACAACGCTGCATAACACATAATTCTGTCCCAAGATATATAGGGAACACAATTATATATTGCTGTGAAACAAGGTGAGAGTGGGAGCCTCTCAATTGGAAAATTGACATCCAGTCCTACAGGATGACAATGCTGCCAAGGCACACACATAAACCGCTGCTCACTAGAAACCTCTTGAGAATTTCTGCCTTCTTCATGCCTTAACAATTCTGCCAATGTCTGTGCCATGTCTGGGTTGAATGTGCAGCTGCAGTACGGCTGGGGCACAAACTCATGGAGTTTTATGCTCTTCTGTGCAGAAGGCTGAAGAAAAAGGACCTGTAACAGAGGCAGTGAGAGCTGGTGACAGCTGAAACCTGCCAAAGGGCAGGAGATGCCTACAGAAAACTCCAACTGGACTTTTATTTTGTCAAGAACCAAAACAAGCATCAAAGTGTCAAAGGTCTGCAAATTTTGGAATTAGGAATAAGTGAGACAAGGAATTTTGTGTCTAAAAGTTTCAAAACCATTGGCTCTTAGAATAAAAGGCCCCTTTAAAAATAAGGCTGTTTCAGCTCACAAACCCTGAAGGACAGGACCAAGTCTCCTGGGTCCCTCTAAGGCTCACTATCTAGGCACTGCTGTACTGCCCTCCTCTATAAGCCTGGAAAAGGTGGCTAACTAATATTGGGCAATTAATGCAGGGGAAGGTACCTAGTTGGACACTGCTGAGGAGAGAAAACGTTATCAGGGCCTTGTTTGTTGAGATTGGGAGGTGTAACAGGTGGACAAAAGTGAGTATTCAAGATGTCCAGATTGCATATTAGCCACAGAAAAAAAAGATTTGCATTAGAAAGTTTGAAATATGCATGAAAATCAGTCATTAACCTTATTTCTTTAATCAAATACTTTATGGTAGTTATGATCAAACAAATAAAAACTTCTAGGAAAGTATACCCGTTACGAAACAACTGTGCGAGACTTTCTTCCCAAAGCCTACAACATTCCACGTAGTTGAAAGTGCACTCACTTAAGAATCCATTGTTTAAAAAGTTTCAGCTTGTAATTACACTAAAAGATAGCTTCAGGAAGAATACAGCTTACTAATTGCAACGCTTTGTCAAAGACATGATTCCTGGCATTTGAAGAAGAACACCTGGACAACACATGGCGTCTTTCCATACAGCAACCAGTAACACCTTTTCAGATGTCATCAGCAGCTGCTGGCTGAGTTGCCTCAGAGCCAGCGTCCAGAGGTAGCGCACACAGTTTGGATACTATAAAGAAACTGCAGGACACAAAACCCTACACGCAGGGTTTCTTGCTGTTAACATGGACTGCAACTTGCATGCACACACGATACGTGAAATTGGAAAACTCTGTCCATGTTAAAAGGAAGGAAACGATAAGAACCACCCATAAAGAATTCAATCATTTATTGTCATTCAATGGAAATGAAAAAGATGACCTCCAAGCACAGAATGTAACCTACCAAAGAAATCACTAAGCTATTAACTATTTTCATGTAACTAGGATTGGGAAAAGCCTCCAGATACAACTGCATAAAATTTGGGTAGGCTTTACTGCATAGGTCAATACTGCTATAGTTGACATTTAAATAACTGACTGAACGTTACTAATAGAAACTGACGATCACAGAGTTTAATGAAGATGAGTGGACACTTCTGATCTAACTTGCATGGCGGGTGATGGAAACCCAGCTAGCTGTGTGCTTTTTCCAGACAGCAGTAGAAATTGCTTGTTGCAAGCAATGCATCTGATCTCTTTTAAAACACCTCTTCCAGGGGAGATGATGTGCTCCCTACAAGTCTCCCTTCCTCTCCATTGATGATATAAGGAGCCAGAGCAAGTGGTTCAGATGGAGTAATCCTGACGGAGACTGGCAATACAAGTAAGGCAGGAGGCCTATGTGTGTTAAGAGAGAATGAGATGCAGAAAAGCCGTGTTGTTTCCAGACATTAAGTTTGTAATGCCACAGCCTTCAAATGCAGAAAGGCTGCTCAGTGACACAACATTAAGAACACTATCACCACACTCCCATGGCAGCAGGAGAAACTCTCGTACCTGCCAATTGTTCAGCTTTTCAGCTGCTGAGAGAGTTGAGGCTGTTCAGCCTGGAGAAGAGAAGGTTCTGGGGTGATCTTATTGCAGCCTTCCAGTACTTAAAGGGGGCCTACAGGAAAGCTGGAGAGGGGCTTTTTACAAGGGTATATAGGGATAAGACAAGGGGCAATGGCTTTAAACTGAAAGAGCGGAGATTTCGATTAGATCCGAGGAAGAAATTCTTCCCTCTGAGGGTGGTGAGGCACTGGAACAGGTTGCCCAGAGAAGCTGTGGCTGCCCTATCTCTGGAAGTGTTCAAGGACAGGTTGGATGACACTTTGGGCAACCTGGTGTAGCGGAGGGTATCTCTGCCCATGGCAGGGGGGTTGGAACTGGATGATCTTTGAGGTCCCTTCCAACCCAAACCATTCTGTGATTCTAAGAAGAGAACAGTTAAATTTGAGTGATACAACTCAACAGAGTTCATGCCGATACAGAGAACTACACTATCTCCCAGAAAAGGTAATAAGGAACTCATGTTTTGGAAAGGAAAAGTCAGGACAGTATGACTGTTGGATTGCAACACTTTGCCAGAATCCTTGCTCACTCCTATCTGAGCACAATGAGTCACAACATGTCAAAAAAGTTGAGGAGAGGTTTATGTAGCCAAGGACCACTCAATACAACTTGGAATCCAGAAATGACCTAAAATATATTTATCAGGCATGCATTAACAGACACACAGTAGATGTAGGAAGGTCCAAGTTCAGGCCTAAGGATGAAGTCACTGGAGCCTTCCCTCTTTCCTCTAACCAGGTCATCCCCTTCGTCAGCCCACTGGGATTTAAAGATACAGCCAAAGTCAAGTTTTGCCAGAACAGCTGCTACATTTCTATTTGTAAAAGACCATTCACTCAGCAACATTATTCCTGAAATGCATCCATGAGTCCTCATCGTAATTTTAGAGGGACTAGGCAAAGATTTGCCCTGCAAAAGCAGCGAGTGTTACGGAAGTTTGTCTAATCTGCCAGTTTAACAGATTTGCGTGCTATAAATTCTTCAAGAGTTTGCAGTGTTTAAATGCTCTTCAGCTCTCACTCGTTCCTGTGACTCTCAAAAGAGGCACACAGTAACGGAAAGACTACGGGAGCAGCCATCCAAGAAAGGCAGAACAGCATCTTACCGTGTCTCTCGGCCTCTGGAGTCACACGATTGCCAGCTTTATCCAAACGTTGTTTAAACAGATTGTGTTCTACATCCAGCTGCTGCTCTCCTGCTACGTCCATGGCATCGATGCTCAAATCTGAAGGCAGCCAACAAGGAAAGTGGTCTATAAACACACACTGCCTATGGCCTGTGGCAGGCTGAGGAAGCATTCAACCAGCACAAATACAGAATCTTTCAGCCAGGAGGATACAGAATCTTTCAGACAGTACATGCCAAAATGGAAAAGCGTGTATGGTTGGTGCCAAGTGATGTCTAGGGAATCAAACACACATTGCATTTATAATCTAGAAAAACATTACTGCCTGACTGGAAGTGCTGGTTTAAGCTCCCAGAGGGCCTGGCTGGAATCATGGTGTAACAACAGGGATCACCAATTCCTCCCTGTCCCTGGCCCAAGCAGCAGGGCAGTACTCAGAAGCACCAGGCACACAAAGCTTCTTGGGCCCTCAGCAATATGAAAATTATCCCCAGCATTCAGACATCTGACTCACAAGCACACGGCATATGTGGAAAAATAACATCTAGGTTGATCTTCAGTTTATCTCCCCTCGACTTGTCAACGTACAATTCTGGGTGAACCTAAAAACAAAGGAAAAACAAAGCATCCTGTTTCACATGGAAGCAAATCACAAAGCTTCTTGGGCCCTCAGCAATATGAAAATTATCCCCAGCATTCAGACATCTGACTCACAAGCACACGGCATATGTGGAAAAATAACATCTAGGTTGATCTTCAGTTTATCTCCCCTCGACTTGTCAACGTACAATTCTGGGTGAACCTAAAAACAAAGGAAAAACAAAGCATCCTGTTTCACATGGAAGCAAATCAAAGGATCAAGACGTAGGATTTGTGAGACACGGGAGTTGCTGCCTCCCACCCCTTCCACGGCAGCTAAGCGCTTGCCATTTGCAAGACTTTACAAAAGAATAATTTGGGAATCTCGGGCCTTGGGGTGCGGTCGGC